ATACAAAAAAAAAAAAAAAAAATTGGCCAGGTATGGTGCTCATGCCTGTGGTCCCAGCTACTTAGGAGGCTGAAGCATAATAATCGCTTGAACCCGGAGGCAGAGATTGCAGTGAGCCAAGATCACACCACTGCAATATATCTAGCCTCGGCAACAGAGTGAGACTCAGTCTCAAAAGAAGAAAAAACAAAAACAAACAAACAAAAAAGGTCTAGCAGCGGCTGGCTTACCTTGCTTGGCCCACCCAGATAAATCTCCATGGCCAGGATGGACAAAACCCTCTATGTCTGTAGACAGCTCTTTATAAATGTTCTCCAAACTGAAAGCAAGCCACAAGAAAAACAAAAATCAGAATCTTAGGCATAATTTGAAAGTTCAGTAACGTCTAAGACACATGTGAAAAGGTTAGAAGTTATAGCCAGCCTTTGGAAGGGACACTGGCACATATGGCACCAGTCCTCCGTCTAACAGTTCCATCTGCCAAAGGCCTTTACTTTAGTCCATGCTTGGAAGAGCACTTAGGAAAACATAAGTAAATCAACCCAGCAGTTACAACCCCAACCCCACTGCTGCTCAGTGACAGTTTTCTATCCTTAGCGTATTTATGTATATATATTACACACCAAATCCTCCAAAGCAGTGTTTTTTTTTTTTTTCTTTTGAGACAGAGTCTCGCTCTGTCACCCAGACTAGAGTATAGTGGCGTGATCTTGGCTCACTGCAACATCCGCCTCCTGGGTTCAAGTGATTCTTGTGCCTCAGTCTCCCGAGTAGCTGGGATTACAGGTGCCTGCCACCGCGCCCGCCTAATTTTTGTATTTTTAGTAGAGACGGAGTTTCACCATGTTGGCCAGCCTGGTCTCCAACTCCTGACCTCATGATCCATGCACCTCAGCTTCCCAAAGGACTGGGATTACAGGGGTGAGCCACTGCGCCCAGCCCAAAGCAGTGGTTCTTAACCAGGGATGATTTTACCCCCTCCAAGGGACTTTTGGCAATGTGTGCACATTTTCCATTGTCATGAGTTGGGGGTTGCTCCTGGCATCCAGTGGTAGAGGCCAAGGATGCAGCTCAAGATCCCGCGATAGCACAGGACTCCTCTCCTCCTCCACAACAAAGAATGACTCAGCTCCAAGTGTCAATGGTGTTGAGGTTGAGAAATCCTCCTCCAAGGCTGGTGAAAGTGCCTGAGATAGTCCCACTTGTAATATGCTAAGTACACATCTGAAAGGAATCACGAATGGATTGCAGTCATCTGTAAAGCATCTGTACCTGGGCGGAGGCGGAACAGGCCTTTGAACACTAAAGCAGAGCCCGTGAGCTTGATTAGGTCCATGATATGGATCCTGTCCCAGGATGACAACTTTCACCTGTAAACCACCAAGGGTCAGGAATTAAATATTGTAATGTAGGCAGCATAGACCTTTGCGTAAACATAAACAAAACAAATGAAACACTTCTATGCCATAGATTGCTAATAGCAGAGTTGCTGGTCAAAGGATAAGTGTATTTTAAACTTTCAAAGATATGTACCTAGCTGCCTTTTTAATTTTTTGAGACAGGGTTTTGCTTTGTCGCCCAGGCTGAAGTGCAGTGGTGTGATCACAGCTCATGGTAGCCTCACCCTCCTGGGCTCAAGTGGTTCTCCCACCTGAGCCTCCAGAGTAGCTGGGACCACAGGAGTGCACCACGACACCCACCTAATTTAAAAACATTCTTTTTTGTAGAGACAGGGTCTCCCTTATGTTGCTGAGGCCAGTCTCAAACTCTTGAGATCAAGCAATTCCCCCTCCTAGGCTTCTCAAAATGCTGGGATTACAGGCATGAGCCACTGTGCCTGACCCCTAGTTATTTTTCCAACAAGTTAAAGCAATTCAGATTTCTCACCAGCAGCATATGAGGGTGTCTGCTCCCCTATATCCTCTAACAGGCAGACCCAGAAGAGAACGAGGTCAGATAGAAAGGGCCGTAGGAATAGGTGGCAAGAGGCAATGAAATAAGGTCCCTATTAGTCAGTGTTGGGACACAGGCCAGCTCATCCTTTCCATCCAGTGCCCACCCATCTAGTCTTCATTCTCAAGCTTCTGCTCATTGTGTTCTTAGACTCTTCCTCTATAGCTGACGAGCTCTATCCTTCAGAATCCAGCTCCAGATGTTCCCATGCCCAGGAGACTTTTGGGGACCACTTGTCCTTCCCCTTGGTGCTCACATCATGCCAACCTATTCTCTTGTGAAACAACCCATCCCTGCAGGGCAGCTTTTGGGCTCAGGGCTTCTGGCCCTAGAGGGAGGATCCTGGGTGAGCTACCTAAACTCCTACACTCTCCCAATGCTGGTCTGTCAAGAAGCCCCACTGGCCCATCTGATCCTCACAGGTTTGAAACTTGTTTTTGAGTATTCTCTCAAAATATTCGGTTTATATTGATCACTGGTATTCAGAATAGGGCATTCAAACAAGAAGCAAACTAGTACTGATTTTAATGAGGTTTAATTTAGTTTCAAAACCAAAGAGCTAGATTCCAAGTTCATGTTCTAAAATTAAGCTTCCAAGATTTCCTAAGTATTAGGCGTGGCTGCCTTATCAGGATGGTTTATTCAACTATTTCACTTCTATTTCATTTCACAGGTATTCATTAAATCACAAGATTCGTGCTCCAGTTTACAAAATGGGGGAGGAAAATGGGTAAAAAACCTAAAAGTCCAATATCAGCAGGTGTTAAATACATCTTAGGAAAACCAGATCATAGAGGTAGCAGGCAACAGGATTCAAGGAGGCGCCACAGAGGCAACCACTTGATTTTTAAGAGACAGAAGTGTCGGGAAGGGTTTGTCACACTGCCCAGCTCTGGAGTGGGAGCTGGAGGTAAGGCTGAGAGGTAGGACACAGCCCTATTTAAAAAGGGTTGCTCTGCTTTCATAGTTCAACAGTAAAGAGCCACAGTTTTTTTTTTTTTTTTTTTTGAGACCAGAGTCTGGCTCTGTCACCTAGGCTGGAGAGTGGTGGTGGTGATCTGGGGCACACTGCAACCTCCACCTCCAGGGTTCAGATGATTCTCCCACCTCAACCTCAAGAATAGCTGGGATTACAGGCGTGCCCAATCTTGCCTTGCTAATTTTTGTATTTTAGGAGAGACCGGGTTTCACCATGTTGGCCAGGCTGGTCTTGAACTCCTGACGTCAAGTGACCTTCCCACCTTGGCCTCCCGAAGTGCTAGGGTTACAGGCATGAGCCGCCGTGCCCGGCCCCACGGACTTTTGAACATGAGACTGATGAGAGCCGACAAGCAGCAACTGTTATGTAAGATGAACTAAAGCAAAGGGATCTGTTAACCATAAAACCGTTCAGGCCAAAAGTAAAGAGCTTGAAAGTGCTGACTATAAGACAGCATGGTCAGGTCAAGGTGGGTTTGACTATAGCTGCGAAACATCGAACTGTTTTGTGTGTCAGTTTGAACTTCATTGGCACCACCATAGTATGTAACACTGCGAGAGGTTTCCAGATTTAAAAAAAAAAAAAAAAAAAAGAAAGAAATAAGAGCATAGGATGTACATATTTTTCCTTTTTGCTGTATAAATAGCACGTGTTAAACATTAAAAAGAGTAAATATAGGCTGAAATACAGTCAGCCAAACCTCACAATTTCAGTGTTTTATTTACTACTGAATGATGGACTGTGGCTTAACTCCGGTGTCCCTAATTTAAAAATACTATTTGACTCCTTCTCCCCAATAAAAATCATCAACAACTTATACTTACATCTCTTATGTCACACATCTGGGTCCAGGTGAAGACTTGGTGTTGGGGTGGATAAACTGTGTAATGCTTTCTTTCTTCTGCAACAAATCCCATTAGCTGATTTAAAGATAAACTAGACTTAAAATCAGATTCTCATTGGAAACCATAAGAATTCATAAGAAAGCTTCTAGGGCATGTTATTTGGAACATCGTTAGTTCTTGGTCATGTTTTATATCCAAATCTTTTTTTTTAAAAAAACAACAAACTATAACAGTGCCTGTCCCTCACTTAAGTGGTCCAATCAGGTCAATTCCCTGCCTCTTTCTCTGGGATGGGTCCTGACAGTGCCACTGCTCCCCGTTTCTTTTTAAACGTCAAGCCAGGTTTCAATTCAGGATGGTTGGTGGTTTTACTATGCCAGCCTTTCCTGGACAGCACACTATGTGGCTAAAATGATGCCATGATACCATCTCACGGGTCATTAACAACTTTAACCAATATAAAGGTGCAGATTAAAACATCATGGCTTTCTTAAACCCCTATGTGAGTAAAGGACGTTGAAGGGGGTACAACCTGAGCCTACGGAAACGTGTACTTGGCCGGTTACACTAACAAGACAAAGGGCCGGCAGCTTCCACATTTACCCTTATGGAAGGTGTATTTCCATATTCACCTTGATAAAATACGGTTTCCCGAACTCCCCGCTGAGGTGCTTCTTCCAGCTCTCCCCAAAGCCCACGGGCACGTTGCGGGCCGCGAGTCTGAGGAGGGCCGCGGCCTTGTTCCTCTGGATCCGGTCCAACTGCTCCGCGCTCAGCGGCGAGGAGGGTGGCGTCCCGGGCTCATCCTGCTCGGCCCGAGCCTTCTTGGCGGGCCTGGCCTGCAAGGAGTCCCCGCAGAGGCGGCTCCAGAACTGTAGCGGCCCCTTCCCAGGCGTCCGCAGCTTCCGGCCCAACCCCCACGGCCCAAGGCAGAAGATGCCCATTTGTGGAGCAGGACTCAGAAAAACCGGACAATAGGAGCCCAGGGCTAGGCCTGGCCCGGGAATTGGGAGTTAGGTTCTAAACTGGAGCGGGAAGACAGGCTGGGAAGCGTCCCCGCGGGGTCCCGAGGGGTATCGCGGGGACTGGGGACCCTGCACAGAGACACCCCGCCCCCGCCAGACCCGCCCCCCGCGTCCCCACGTGGCCTTTTCGCGGCAAAAACCTTCCCTCTAGGTCCCGCCCCCTCTCTTCTGATTGGACAGCAGGCCGAGCAAGGCGGGCCTACGGCGCGCGGATTGGCGCGCTGGACCCCGAGGCGCGTTCCCATTGGCTGACCCCTCAGCATGGCGGCCCAAGGGGTGACCGCGGCGGCTGTTTTGAACACGTGGGGGCTGTTCGGAAAGGGGAGCTAGGGTACGGAGACAGAGGCGCGCTCCTGCACGCCCTCAATCAGACGGGGCCCACTACCTTCCTCCCCCTTCACCACCCCAGCCCCGGCCCCACGCTGCGCCTCACCGCCGCATCTCCGTTCTCTTCAGCCACAGCCACCACGACAGTCCCCAAATCAGCCGGCTCGGGGCTGGGGGCGTGTCGCTTCCTGGCGGGGCTAGGGGAGAAGAAGGAGTAGAGCGTCTTCTGGCCGATCATCCCGGAGCCGAGGAGGCAGCGAATGCGCGCCGCCGGGGAACCCGCGAAGCTGGTCCTGGCTGTGGCGGTCAGCAATTGGCGCCAAGGGGCCCGCGCATGCTCCGAGCGGGGGGCTTTGCTGGGGGCGGGGGGCTGTGGAAGGCCCAGTGCGCATGTGCGGGAGGGGCTGCCTTGCAACGCCCCTGGGAGGAGGTGGGGCATGCAATGGTGCCTCGGGGGCTATTATTTCATTCGCTTTGTGCCTTCGGCTTAACTCTGACCATTGGAAAGTCTCTCCAGGCTCAGCTGCAAGAAAAAAAAGCCGGGCGCGGTGGCGCATGCCTGTAATCCTAGGGCTGTGGGAGGCCCTGGCGGGAGGATCGCTTGAGGCCGGAAGCTCGCAGCTGTAGTGAGCTTTGAACCGGCCATTGCACTCCAGCCTGGGCGACAGAGCGAGACCGTCCCTGGCGCGGCGTGGGGGTGGGGGAAGAAAAGTACCTGCCCCTTAGGGGTGTTGTGGGAGTGCAGTGAACAATATAATAGTACTGCCCAGGCTTGATGGCTCAGGCCTGTTATCCCTACACTGTAATCCGAGGCAGATGGATCGCCTGAGGTCAGGAGTTCCAGACCAGCCTGGCCAACATGGTGAGACCTCGTCTCTGTTAAAAATACAAAAATTAGCCGTGCGTGGTGGCTCGCACCTGTAATCCCAGCTATTTGGGAGGCTGAGGCTGGAGAATCGCTTGAACTCGGGAGGCAGAGGTTGCAGGGAGCAGAGATTGCGCCACTGCACTCCAGCCTGGGTGACAGAGTGAGACTCCATCTCAAAAACAAAACAAACACACAAAAGATATAATAGTATTTGTGGAACTGTTATATACATTATCTCATGCAATTTTCATGGCCTATTTTATGACGATAAACTAAGGCTTACAGCAGTCAAACATTGTGCCTAATGTATCAGGCTTGTGGGAGACTTTTGGGTCATAGAGCTTAAACCCCAAAGATTTATTCTCCAAATGACACCACTGTGCCTCCTCCCCACCACTACTAATACACTTAGGATTCTCTTTCCCTCCCTCACATCCAAACCATCCATATCTCCTTTTGGTTCTTTCTCCAAAACAAACCTCAAATTCAACTGCTGCTCTTCCATCTACTGGCTACAGAAGATCAGCTGGGAAGTATTCTCCTTTCTAGAGAGAGATTTTTACATCATTACAATACCCGGGACCGGCCCAGTGCTATGGGTCACGTCTGTAATCCCAGCACTTTGGGAGGCCGAAGGGAGTTCTCTTGAGCCCAGGAGTTCGAGACCAGCCCGGCCAACATGGCGAAAACCCATAAATTAGTCAGGCGTGGTGGCATGCACTTGTAATCCCAACTACTCCGGAGGCTGAGGCAGGAGAATCACTTGAACTCGGGAGGTGGAAGCTGCAGTGAGCTGAGATTGCGCCACTGCACCCCAGCCTGGGCAACAGAGCAAGACCCTGTCTAAAAGCAAACAAAAAGAAAAAAAAGACAATCCATGGGTTAAAACCCTTCTATGCTTTCCAAATAGGCTTAGAATAAACCCCAGCTTCCTGCGGAGCTCTCAATGCTGCTTCCTCTCCAATGGAAGCCCCCACTACTGAATCCAGCTCCAGGCACATTTGCTGGACACACCCAGCTTGTCCCCCTGTGGCCTGCACACCCTTGCTCTCACCATGCCCTGGCCTGGAAAGCCTCAGGTCTCAGCTCAGGATCTTTCCGTGAAAAGGTCTCCTGCCCCACTTTCTAGCCCATCGCTCTATAGCTGCTATAGTAGACAAAAGCATCTTATTTATTTACTTATTTTTTCTTTTTATACAATTTCTTTTCTTTCTTTGTTTTTTTAGAGACAGAGTCTCTGTCACCCAGGCTGGAGTGCAGTGGCATAATCTCAGTTCACTGCAACCTCCACCTACCGGGTTCCAGCAATTCTCCTGCCTCAGCCTCCCAAGTAGCTGGGACTGTAGGTGCACACTGCTACGGCCAGCTAATATTTTGTATTTTAGCAGAGATGGGGTTTCACCATGTTGCCCAGGCTGGTCTCGAACTCCTGAGCTCAGGCCGTCCACCCTCCTCAGCCTCCCAAAGTGCTGGCCACCGTGCCCAGCCTTTATAAAATTTCTTTAGAGACAACATATTATTTATTGTTTCCTCATGTGTTTCTGTCTCCATCTCTAGTTGTAACCTGAGTGAAGAAAGGAATTGCTCCTTCTCGTTGTTGGTGTGTCCCAGTGCCTAGGACAAAGAGCTGAAGTCTAAGAAGGGAGAGAGGCTCAGAGCTGAAAATCATTTGCCTTTAGAGCCACTTTGAAAAAACAGTTCCACAGTTTTGTATACAGGGAAGCATACACTTAGCATGTGACCCAGCACTCCCACACCTAGGCATTTACCCAAGGGAAATGAAAATCTGTATTCACACTAAAGCTTGTATGTGAATGTTTATAGGGATTTTGCTCATAGTAGCCTAAAACCGGCGAACAACCCTAATATGGGACCCACTCCCATGGGGCACCCCGACTATACCAGTAATAGAAAGGAACAAACAAGTGATACAAAAGTGGGCATACGGCCGGGCACAGTGGCTCATGACTGTACTCCCAGCACTTTGGGAGGCCAAGGCAGGCAGATTGCTTCAGCTCACCAGCTGAAGATGAGGCAGATCACCCTGGGCAACATGGCAAAACCCCATCTCTACAAAAAATACAGAAATTAGCTGGGTATAGTGGTGCATGCCTGTAGATCCAGCTGCTTGGGAGGCTGAGGTGAGATGATCACTTGAGCCTGGGAAGTGGAGGTTGCAGTGAGCTGAGATCATGCCACTGTACTCCAGCCTGAGCAATAGAGCCAGATCTTGTCTCAAAAAAAAAAAGGTAAATAAATCTTAAAAGCAATATGCTTAAGTGAAAGAAGTCACACAAATGCTATATATATTTTAGGATTCCTGTCTCAGTCTGTTTTCTGTTTCTTAGAGTACCTGAAACCAGGTAATTTACTGACAAAAGGAATGTATTTCTCATAGAGGCTGAGAGGGCCGAGGTTGAGGGTTTGCATCTGGTGAAAACCTTCTTGCTGATGGGGACCCTGCTAAGTCCTGGAGCCGTGCAGGGCATCGCATCGTGAGGGGCCTGAGTGTGCTAGCTCAGGTCTCTCTTTTTCCTTTTATAAAGCCACCAGTCCCACTCCCATGGTAACCCATTCATCTATGAATTCATTTATGGGGACAGAGCCCTCGTGGCCCAATCACCTCTTTAAGGCCCCACCTCTCAATAGTGCCACATTGGGGATTAAATTTCAGCATGGATTTTGGAAGGACAAATATTCAAACCATAGCAATTCCACATATATGAAATTCTGGAAAAGGCAAAACTATAGGGAGAGAAGACAGATCAGTGGTTGCTGACACTGGGTGATGGGGCAAGCTGATAAGAGGCCGGAGCAGTTTTATGGAGGGATGGAACTGTCCTAGATCTTGATTGTGGTGGTGATCATACAATACTGTATATTTGTCAGAACCTGTCGAAACAAAGCCTCCAATCTCATGGAGCTTACGTTCCATTGAGGGACGAGGGACGAGAGGAGGAGAGACAGAGAGTAAGTAAAAATTAGGAGCCAGTCGTGGTGGCTCACGCTTGTAATCCCAACAATCTGGGAGGCCCAGGTGGGAGGATCCCTTGAGCCCAGGAGTTTAAAACCAGCCCGGGCAACATAGCAGGACCCCATCTCTACTTAAAAAAATAATAATAATAATAGCTGGGTGGGGTGGGATGTGCCTATAGTCCCAGCTACTCCAGAGGCTGAGGCGGGAGGATCGCTTGAACCCAGGAGCTCAAGGCTTCAGTGAGCCATGATCACGCCATTGCATTCCAGCTTGGGCAACAGAGTGAGATCCTGTTTCAAAAAACAAAACAAGAACGACAACAGAAAACAAGAAAACAGAAAACAGGAGCAATAATGGAACCGACGTTTGTTTAGAGGTCGGAGCATCCTGTCGTCTCCTCAGGCGCTCTCATGACACGGGCGCTGTAGCTCCCACTCACGGATGAGGAACTCAACCCCAGAGAGGTGAGCTGAGCTGTGGGAGCCCACACAGCCAGGGCGGAGGAGATAGACATGGAAGCCACGATGTCCGACTGCAGAACTCGTGCTCCCACTCGCGACAATATACAGGTGGCCCAACGTCCTTTCCGGACACCAAAGTAACCCCCAGAAAGACCTGACACCAAACCACAGTTCTCACTTCAGCCGTGATGCTCAACAGTGGCGGAACAGACAGAGGATCAACCGGAACGCGGCAGTGCTTGCCACGCACGGGGAGGGCCGGCAGGTGGCGCCAGAGGGCCACCTGGCTGCTCGCTTCAAGCCGTTGCCTGCAGTTCCCAGGGCGCTCCGGAAATGACGCGGCTGATTCTCGGGGTCGCGTCTTTCCCGCACCCAGGGGTTTGTGGGATTCCGAGTTGCGCAGAGGCTGAGATTCTAGAGCACCCTCGACACCTCCACCCCACGTACGTGTTGCAGTAATATCAGAATTTGGCGTGCGGTTTACCCGTGTTTACCGCTTTGCGTCTCCTTTGTGAATCGTCTCTGTTTGAGCATCACGAGACCTATTTTAACACTGGTGCGGGGCCGCGAGGTCATTTACGGGTCCCTTCTTCTTAAAAGGGGTAACCCGTTGACTTTGGGCAAACTCCTTTCCTTCTCTGGGCAGCAGTTTCCCCTTCTGCAAAATGAGGGCTTGGATTGTAGTTTCTAAGTTTAGCTGTGGTTTGCGAATTCCCGGGGGGTTCTTTAACAATTAAGGTGCTTGGGCGTGGAGTGCAGAGCTCTGGGTTTCTGCAAGCAAGCCAGCTGATTCTGATGCACAGGTAGACGTGGAAGACCCTGGATCAGATTGTCCGGAGGGTCCCTTCCGGCTTTAACATCTGCTTCCTTTCTAGGACGTGGTTTTAAACTTTAAAATGAAAACGTAGAACTAGGAATGTTGCTGTGAGACTCCTTGGACAAACTGATTTTTGCATGGAGGACAGAACTTGAGCAATCTCTGTCTTGGCCTTACCACTGACGTCCCTTCTTTCCTGTGGGGACGGGATGGATAGATTCCTGGTGAAAGGGGCTGAAGGGGGCCTTTTCAGGAAGCGGGAGGAGCAAGAGGCAACTGGAGAAGAGCCCCTTGTGTTGGGAGGAGACCAAGAAAGCACAAGGAAGAGGCCCAGGAGAGAGGCCCCGGAGAGTGGAGGCCACTCCACAGGCCCCAGCTGGCGGTATATTCGGGCGGAGGGCCTGGACTGCAGTTACACAGTGCTGTTCGGCAAAGCTGAGGCAGATGCGATTTTCCAAGAGTTGGAGAAAGAAGTAGAATATTTTACAGGTAAGCAGAGGGGTGTGTGTGTGTGTGTGTGTGTGTGTGTGTGTGTGTATTGAGGGCTTGTTTGGTGCAATTAATGATCGTATGTTTGGAGAAATCTGAACTCAGGATCTGTTATTCACTGATGGGTTCACTAATGGATTCAACCAATATTCTTTGAGCACCTCTGGCCTAAGCCCCTTACATGCTTAGGACATAAACTTGAAAAAACCTGGATTTGCCTGTCCACTGGGGCCGATACATGACTCAAGTGAATCTCCACTTGGCTACTGATTAGCATCTTCTGGAAAAATTTACAAAACAAAGTGAAAAAACGTGCCGGGTTCTACCTCAGACCACTTCAATCAGAATTGCTGCAAGTGCAGGCTGCCCATTCATGTTTTTAAAAAGCTTCCAGGTGATTCTCATGGGTAGTCAGGGTTGCGAATCACTGATCTCATAGGAGAGATAGCAAATAACCAGGTAATTTCTCTACGCCAGTGGTTCTCAGGATCACCCGGTGGACTTGCTGTTGGCAGGACTTGGGTTGCTGGGCCCCACCCCTGTGGTTTAGTTTCTAAGGAGATTCCAGGTGCTGCTGGTGCTGCTGGCCCGGGGAGCAGATGTTGAGAACCACGGCTGTACCCTGTAGTGAGGGCACAAGGACCTGGCAGAGAGGCATAGAAAAGCCCACAGGAGGCGGGGCATAGTGGCTCACATCTGTAATCCCAGCACTTGGGGAGGCTGAGCAGGTGAATCATTTGAGGTCAGGAGTTCCAGACCAGCCTGGCCAACATGGTGAAACCCCTAAAATACAATTCTACTAAAATACAAAAAAAAAAAAAAAATTAGCTGGGCATGGTGGCACATGCCTGTAGTCCCAGCTACTCGGGAGGCTGAGGCAGGAGAATCATTTGAACCCGGGAGGCGGAGGTTGCAGTAAGCTGGGATCGTGCCACTGCATTCCAGCCTGGGCAACAGAGACTCGGTCTCAAAACGAAACAAGGAAAGAAAAGCCCACGCACCAGGCATGGTGACACACACCTGTAATGCCAGCTACTCTGGAGGCTGAGGTGGGAGGATCACTTGAAGCCAGGGGTTCAAGTCCAGCCTGGACAACATAGCAAGACCCCTCGTCGCTTTATTCTTTTATGCCTTGAGACAGGGTCTCACTCTGTCGCCCAGGCTGGAGGGCAGGGGCACAGTCCTGGCTCACTGCAGCCTTGACTGCCTCAGCATCCTAAGTAGCTGGGACCACAGGCCTATGCCACCAGCCTGGATAATTTTTAACTTATTTGTAGGCCTCGCTGTGTTACCCAGGCTGTTAACTAAATTCCTGGTCTTGAGTGGTCCTCCTGCCTTGGCCTCTCCAAGTGCTGGGACTGCATGCATGAGCCAGCACACCTGGCTCACATCTCTTTAAAAAAAGATATGCCCACAAGAAACCCCAGCTATGTGAGCCCCATCTTTAATGGGACCATATCCCGTTAGTCCCCACAGCTGGCAAAACCATCCTAGCCTGTAAACTGACTTTATTGTCTCCAATTTCAGCCTCTTTATTCTGCTCTTACTGTAGTTAAGGCAGTTAAGTTAGTGTTTACTAAAACAATAGCCCAGGACCATGTTTCCCTACTAATAGGACAAGACTCACTCTTCTTACATGAGCGTTTGGGGCAATTGGCTGGGTGCAGTGGTGCACACCTGTAATCCCAGCACTTTGGGAGACCGAGGTGGGTCGACCACTTGAGCCCAGGAGCTCAAGACCAGCCTAGGCAACATGGTAAAACCCTGTGTCTACAAAAAAATACAAAAAAAGTTAGCTAGGCACGGTGGCATGCCCCTGTGGTCCCAGCTTTTCAGGAGGCTGAGGCGGGAAGACTGCTGGAGCCTGCGAGGTGGAGGTTGCAGTGAGCTGAGATTGTGCCACTGCACTCCAGCCTGGGTGACACAGGGAGACCCTATCTCAAAACAAAAGAAAATTTGGGGCAAGCCAAAATGATGATTGAGGAGGGCTTTAAATTACATGGAAAGGCAGGGCGTGGTGGCTCACGCCTATAATCCCAGCACTTTGGGAGACCGAGGCAGGTGGATCATGAGGTCAGGAGTTTGAGACCAGCCTGACCAACCTGGTGAAACCCCGTCTCTACTAAAAATACAAACATTAGCCAGGCATGGTGGTGGCGCGTGCCTGTAATTCCAGCTACTCAGGAGGCTGAGGCAGGAGAATCACTTGAACCCAGGAGGCGGAGGTTGCAGTGAGCTGAAGTTGCACCATTGCACTTCAGCCTGGTGACAAAGCGAGACTGTCTCAAAAAAAAGAAAGTGCATGGAATGACAGGGAAATGTTATTCCTGTCTTACTGCAATACCCAGGGATCGTGTGTTGGGCATTGGATTTCTGGTGGTGGCGGTGGGAGTGCTATCTGCATTTCTGGAGGGGGTGTCAGGAGGAAAGGAACTGCCATGTTTCCTCTGCCCAGGGGTGCTGGCCAGGGTCCAGGTGTTTGGGAAGTGGCACAGTGTGCCCAGGAAGCAGGCAACGTATGGTGACGCTGGGCTGACCTACACATTCTCAGGCCTCACGCTGTCTCCAAAGCCGTGGATCCCAGTTCTAGAGCGCATCCGGGATCGTGTCTCTGTGGTGACTGGAGAGACCTTCAACTTTGTGCTCATCAACAGGTGACGACACCCTGTCTGTTTAGTGGACTCAATGTTTCAAGGCTTCTATCTCTTCCGAAAGGAAGTGTTTAGGCTTCCACCCTATTTGGTTCATTGGTACACATCATTCTTTAGTGCACCAGGGCTCTAGGACTGGAACAGCGCCAGCATCGGTCTTCCTGGAGTAGGAAGTGAGAGGCGATTAACTCCTGAACATACAGTCAAACGAGACACTTTCTTCTTTTCTTTTTTTCTTTTCTTTTTTTTGAGACAGGCTTTTTCTGTGTTGCCCAGGCTTGGTCTCAAACTCCTGGGCTCAAGTATCCTCCCAAAGTGTTGGGATTACAGGCGTGAGCCACCATGCCTGACCCTAGACAGTTTCAGACAGCGATAAGCATCTTACAAAACATTAAAACAGGCCAGTCTGACTGAGGATGAATGAGAGATTTGTGTTTAGGGCAAGGTTTCTCAGCGGCAGCACTGTGGATGTTTGGGGCCCAATCATTGTTTGTTGTTGGGGCTGACCTGTGCCTTGCAGGATGTTGAGCACATCCCTGGCCTCCATCCACTAAATGCCAGTAGTGTTCGCCACCCCCGGTACCTGTCCTCTGGGACAGAATCACCCTAGCGGAGAACCCTGGGTGGATTTAAGGGAAGGTCACTTTAGATGGAGTGGTTAGAGGAGGGCTGAGGCAGTGCGTTTCAGCTGGTAACTAAATGGAGAGTGCCAGCCACAGACATCTGGAGGAAGAGCAGAGGGACCCTGGAGTGTGAAGCAGAAATCCCGCTGGGATGGCCGGAAAGCAGTGAATGAGGGAAAGAAGGAGATGGCATGAGCTCAGAGGTGGGCACGGGCCAGACCGTGCAAGGAATGTGGCCTTTAAATGTAGGGCGAAATCACGTGATAAAGGCTTACATAGATCAGCCAGGGGGGCTACAGTAAGATGTGATTTTGACTTTGGGTGTTTTCAGTCTTTTTTTTTTTTTTTAAATTTTAAAATTATTTATTTTATACTTTAGGATCTGGGGTACATATGCAGATCATGCAGGATTGCTGCACAGGCACATACACGGCAAGGTGGTTTGCGGCCTCCATCCCCCCATCACCTATATCTGGCATTTCTCCCCGTGTTATTCCTCCCTACCCTCCCCACCTCCCTGCTGTCCCTCCCTTAGCCACCCTACAACTGACCCCAGTGTGTGATGTTCCCCTCCCTCTGCACATGTGTTCTCATTGTTCAACACCCGACGATGAATGAGAACGTGGTATTTGGTTTTCTGTTCTTGTGTCAGTTTGCCAAGAGGGTGTTTTCAGTTTTAAAGCACATGAACTGGTCAGGCATGGTGGCTCATGCATGTAATCCGAACACTTTGGGAGGTCAAGGACAGTGGATCGCTTGAGCCTGAGTTTGAGACCAGCCTGGGTAACATGGCAAAATCCTGTTTCTAGAAAAGAACAATATTAGCTAGGTGGGAGACTGAGGTGGGAGGATCACTTGAGCGCAGGTGGTCAAGGCTGCAGTCAGCTATGATTGTGCCACTGCACTTCAGCCTGGGTGACAGAGCGAGACCTTGTCTCATAAATAAATAATAAATAAGTCACATGAACAAATAGGTCAACAAAGCCCGTCAGGGTTGGCTCATCTAAGAGCCCGCTGTGGACCTCAGGCCCTTGCAGAAACACGGCACAGACAACCGCACAGAGCGCAGTTTCACACTGTGAGCAAACGAGGGCTGGCAGTGCAGGCGTTTCAGGAGACAGTGGTTTTCATGCACTGGGCTTCTTTTTTCATTGCAGGTATAAAGATGGCTGTGACCACATCGGGGAGCACCGAGACGATGAAAGAGAACTGGCCCCTGGGAGCCCCATCGCCTCTGTCTCCTTCGGTGCCTGCAGAGACTTTGTCTTCCGGCATAAGGATTCCCGTGGGAAAAGCCCCTCGCGGAGGGTGGCGGTGGTCAGGCTGCTGCTGGCCCACGGAAGCTTACTCATGATGAACCACCCGACCAACACGCACTGGTACCACAGTCTTCCTGTGAGAAAGAAGGTTCTGGCTCCACGGGTCAATCTGACGTTTCGTAAAATTTTGCTTACTAAAAAATAAAAATGTTTTTAACAGTTCTCTTTTCTCTTTCTCTCTTGACTCCAAGAGGGAGCTGGCATTTCCTTTACCAACAGGAACAGAAAGGTTTAAAGCATTTATGTAACAATGCAGAATTCAGAAAGATGATGTTTGTAACGGATCAGTGCATTACAAAAGAAAACTACATGATTTTTTTCCTAACAAAATGATTATTTTATTGCTATAATACACAGCAGATACAAAAGTACCTTTAGCAAATACATATGTAAGCAGTTATTATGGCAAAAACTACTAGTTTAACTTAGGTTTTCCCCAAAAGAACTACTTACTTTGAAAATAACTTAAAACTAGAAATCAGATTATTGGGCTGCTACTTAATGCCTAATAATTTACAAAAGAAGTCAGGTTAAAAGACTTTGCACAGATATTGTTCACATTTACAGCCTTGGCTGAAACCCTGGCCTCTGAGCAAGGAAAGATCTGCTTACAACCGTGTTCCAAGGCTCAGCTCCTTTTCTCCATCATCTTTAATGGTAGATTTCAAAGAGTTAGCAGTGGCAGAACAGCAATCACTCAAAGCTACAGCTTTGCAGTATACTTCTTTAAGGTCACATGATTGGGCATTTGTTCCACCAGACTTGGGTAAAACAGGTGCGTTCATTTCAACATCAAAGCCAAGGTCTGCAGTGGGCGAGTGCAGAACGGACACGTAGTTCAAGCTGCCCCTTCCACCCCGGTGCCCAGGGCCTGGAGAGCCTACATAGTCTATTCTGTTGAGAGCAAGAGTTACTGAGTCCTCAGGGTGTCGTCTGGGCCCAGCAGACAAGTGATCACCAGGGCTTCCTGCACCATGAGCTGCTGCCAAGGCACTGTTTGGTGTGTCTGCCAGCTCGCCCCCAGCCGAGGAAGCACAGGTCTTAGCCTTACCTCAGGGGACCTTTTGGATAGGTCTGATTCCAAATCTTACCTCTGATGAGTCGGTTTGAATTTGGTACCCATTTTTTTAAATTAAAAATCTAGCTTAAAACATAGGTACTACTGTGTCATCAAAATTCCTTTGGCCCTGGGCTGCATTCAGAGACTTATCTGAAAAGGGAAGAAAGTGCTCAATACATACTCTTTGTATTAGGCTACTGGAAATGAATAAATTTAGAATATGGACATAGGGCAACATGACAATACTAGATGCCTTCTGTAGTTACGTGTTGAAAAGTCAAAAGCTGCTTTCTTCTTTTGTGGAAAGGGCTGGTCGTCAACTCTAACCCTTCACTTCTCAAATGAAAAAACTGAGGTCCAGGGAGACTGCAGCCCCATGGTCAGCCCTTCCTTCCTAAGCCAGCTCTCAACTCAGGGCAGGGATTGTCTTTTTATACAAGCTCCTACCCGAAAACCTTAAGAGCTCTGCATGGCAATAAATAAACATGAAAGTAACCGTCCACGGTGGATCCTTGTGTAAGAAAGAGTTTTCCACAGCAGAGGAATCAGGTGTTCCAAAGATACTGCTCAGTTCTGGCTATTCACAGTTTTATAATACACTATAAGAACATTTCAGTCCAGTATACAAAAGATCAAAGCAACGAGTAAGCTTTTCACTTATAACTGACAAAGTAGTGAAAGAGTTTCCCCAGGGGGCAGATTTGGCAAATGAACATTGACTCCATAGAAAGAATGGAAAGGTTAGAAAAGGCATAGAAAAAGGAAGGTGTTCTCTAGGCAACTTTGACCTGTTCTCTTGCTGTCCTTTGAGTGACCTGGAAGGAATATTTCAGAATGGACGTGTTACAAAAGCAATCGAAAGTGAAAGGCACTTTTTCTCCTAAATTCTTGCCTTTAATAATTTCACTAATTCTTGTCAACAATTTTTAATGGGCCTGCTTATTAAAAATAAAAGATCTATGTGGAAATGTGGGAGGATTAGACAAAGGTACCTCCCCTCTGAGAACACCTAACATTACAATATGAAAAGAGCAGCTTCAAGAATCTGAATTTTTTAAATTACCTGTATCAGATGAGTAAAAAGACACTCTAGCCATAACGAATGCTTTCTTAACATGATGGTACCATGTACACACACGAGCAGAGCTGTTCAGGGAGCCTGATTGGGTATGAATTGGGGCTGGCTCCCAGGTGGAGCCTGCTCTTAGAACACACCGGAAGGCTGGAAGGCTCTAATGGGGCTGCTTGCACACACAGTAAGTTTTACTTTTTTCCAGGACAGTGCAGACACTGCCATCGGCTCTAGCCTCACAGGACAGCAGTCATTCTTCAGACTTGTACTCCTGGCTCTGGTGCTGCATCCTGGAAAGGACGCGCTCATAGAACAGCAGGTAGGCGCTGGAGGACAGGACCTCCTGCAGGCTGGCCTTGCGGACAGTGTCATCGGAGACCCATAGCCACTGGTTGCTGGTTGAGAGAGGGTTCCTGGCCGAAGGTGGGGACCGTCGGTAAGTGACAAAGTGTCCAGAGTGCATGTCTCCATGGTGGACGACAACTGCCATCAGCCGGAAGAGGTATGTGGAGGAGCTGAACGACAGGAACACAAGTCAGGGGTTTACAATTTTAACAAAAAAGACTTTATAGACAAAAACAAAAGAATCCTAATGTTAAATAGGAGATCAATACAATGGTAAGTCCATACCACCGAATGCTACACAACTATTAGAATACAGATCGGTATTTACTGGCATGGCAATATGTCCATTCAATGAGTATATATATATATATTGTATTTGTGGATGTTTGTATCAAATGAGTGTGTTTATACTGTATGTATGTGTGTTCACATACCCACATATGACTTTATAGAGTGCATGACCCTAAATGTTTAATTGGCTATCTCTAGGTGGTATCCCAAGAAATTTTAAATTTTCTTTATATTTTATACATACACACATATATACACACATACATATGGATATGTAAATTTTATGTACTTTAAAAATTCTTAGTTTAAAAGTGATTTCCATTTTGGACAAAAATAAATAGGAATGTGTAATCGTGAAACTTAACCTTAAAATGAAAAATAAACCTCTATATTTTCCGGAATTCGTTTCTGTGAAAAGCTAATTTTAGAAGCTAAGAGCAGTGGTAGCTCTAAGATGGGGATGGAAAGGGCGGCTCACCTGTAGTCGGGAACAACGGGGAGAGGGAAGGGCACTGGCGCTGACAGCGTTGGCAATAAAGATGGGGAGCAGGCGCCATTCATAAAAATCTGGGTTTTGGGGGCCCCTGGCTGATTCAGAACTGCAAGAGAAAAAGGCCCGAGTGAATAAAAATTAGCAGTGGCTCTGTAAACAAAGCCTAGTTTTGATTACCTTAAAAGTTAACTCCCCATAATACTATAAAGAAAAAAACGTATTTCATTTGGTATTATACGGATCCATAAAATAATCTACCCTTTATCCTTAATACCAAATAGGGATAATCTATCTCAATCCCAAATAGGAAAAACGTATCTAGCTCCAGGTTTATGGCTAGCCTGGGATCTTTGAGCTTCCTAGCCCTGTTTGCTAATGGCATGCATCAAAGTTAATCAGTAGCTAATTTACTGGCTTTTGACCTAAACCAAGGTTTCTCAACAGTGGCACCATGACGGTTTTGGCTGGATCATTCTTTGCTCTGGGGGCTGTCCTGTGTGTTACAGGATGTTGAATAGCATCTCTGGCCTCACCAGTAGCATCCCTCCCCCAGTAGTGACAGCCAAAAATGTTACCAGATATTGCCCAATGTCCCCTGAGAGGCAAAATCCCTCCAAGTTGAGAACCACTGATCTAAGCATTCTATTTTCTTTAATTCTGTCAGCTTCTAACGAACACCAACATATAACAGCATTAATACATGTTTGTGGGTATAGATAAATAAGGCCATATTTACATGTCTTTTCCTTTCAAGTGTCACTTTTGGAGGCCTTTACGTACCAAGTAGTTTACCGATGACTTTTTTTTTTTTTTTTTTGGAGACAGGATCTTGCTCTGTTGCCCAGGCTGGAGCACAGTGGCATGATCACAGCTCACTGCAGCCTCAAACTTCTCGGTTCAAGCAATCCTCCCACCTCAGTCTCCCAAAGTGCTGGGATTACAGGTGTGAGCCAACACGACTGGCCCTACTGCTGGCATCTTTAACCACAGTCAGCATGCTCTCAACATTAGTAAACCTGCACTCCAGCCCAGGAGAGGGGGAAGCTGGGGTGAAGAGGTCTTTAAAACCAGGGCCAAGGACTGAGCCTGAGTCTGCTCCCTACCTCATCTCTTTCTGATGTTAATCTAGTGACTTGATGAGAAAGAGGAAAACATCGTCTCTCTGACATGATGAGGTGTCAGGCCATGCACAAAAAGAACAAAAGAAGTAAGGGACCCGAAAATAGGAAAGTACGAGGTATGAGACGATCCTGACCCAAATGGGGGTGTTAGGCAGGTGCTGAGTTCAGGCTGTGAGCCCTTAAAGTGAGTGGGTTTTCCTCATCTCTAAAGAACTCAATGAGTCACATGAGACACATTTAGAAGACGGCCCAACACTCCATTCTAGGGCCAGTTCTCCCATGTGGTGTTTGCCCTTGGACCAATCATCCAACCCCGTGGAGCCTCCACATTCTTGTCGGTAAGACCGAGAGTGATAAGAGCTACCTGGCTTAACTGAGACCTCAGCTGAGGGCAGTCACGGAATCAGATACAGAATTCAGTAAAGTAGCCATTTCAACCTACAGAAGAGGCTCAGTGATCTTTAGCCAGAACCTGTCCTCCCCACATTTCCTGTACTGACAGGAAATGACACGACTGCAAAAGGAAAAAGATTCACTGGAATGATGTGAGCCAATGATTATATCATTTAGTGGAAAGATCAGAAGGCAAGGCTGCAATTTTAAGCGTTTCTCTCTGTACTTTTTCATCTGGAATATGGTTTCAAAAACGATACATCTCACTACTACATAATTTTAACCTCTTCTAAGAACTCTTCCTTCTTCCACCCCCAATCCTGCTGTTCTCAAGAATTTAAACAACCATTGTACAAGCCTTGTGCTCATGACATAAGGGACCCAGAA